AAAGCCCTGTGCTCATTTCCGAGCCCTCCATCCTCCCACATGTCACAACCCACCACTGGACAACAGCTTAGCATCTAAAAAATTGATATCAGGATTGTGAATAATGGAGTAAAACAGCAGACAGCTGGAGAGCATTCTTAGTTTTAAGTGCAAATCATACATTTTTGATAAATAAAATAATAAAGTCCATTTTGAGGTCTGTACCCAATTCTTGGAAAAAGATACTGACCTAGTACTAAAAAATATATAATAATAAAACCCACTACTTGCAAATAGTAGCTACATGAACCTCAGACTCCCAGTACAGATCTCTGAAAGAAGATCTGGATGTTTTTCCTGCAGGGCAGATCCAGCCAGGTGTGTCAGGCATTCCCAGAAGGTAGGGAACAGCCTTGTGCCAACCTGAAGGGTCAAAAAAACCTGTGTGCTGGCCTGTGGCTGGGGCTTTTGGTGGCCAGGGAAGAATTTGTGATGGTTTGGTGACTGCACCACAAATCCACCTGAGGGGATCATTTGTCCAGTGTAGCATGGCATGGAGAGGTACCCAGCCAGGGTCCTGCTGGCAAAAAATGTTCATACCAGGGGTAGATTGGGCTGCAATGAGACATTTGCTCCTTTTGACCTGCTCTTTCTCTACAGTGGAGCTCAGATCTTCTCTTCGGAGTACAGACTGAGCATCCTGAACACTCTGTGCAACAAGAAGTTATTTCTCACTTGTTTAATTCATACTCTGCTGGGTTTATACCCAGTACACCACATTTTTCCAAAAACTGAGGAGCCTGTGGTGTTGCAGAGGTGCGTGGTCTGAGGGAAGTGGTTCCCGCTGACAGCGCACTAACCCTGGACACGCTGACAGCTGCAACGTGATGCCTGGAGATGTTAATTGTTATTAAAACATCCTTTCAGTGCTCACCATTGACTGCCCACATGAGCAATTTTACTTACAGCCCATTTTTTCCTTTACTATCGATTATATTAGGAAAGAGATGAAAAATATGAAACCAGTGTTGCAGAGAATAGGTCAGTTTATTAAGGCTCTCTCTCCAAATTGGCTGTTTTAAAATTCAATAGATGAACATAAAAAGCGGGTCTTAGTGAGAAAAAAGCATCCAGGCAGTTTGTTCCAAAGGTAGCATCCCTCTGCTTTCTGCTGTCAGGCTTTTCAGAGGAACCATGAAGCCCAAGTACACTCGACCTCTTGCCAAGTGGTTCACAGTGTATTTTTGCCTCAGATAATCACATTCAAACTGCAGCAAGACATCACTTTCTCCTCTGTATATTTCCTGATGTCACGTGTCATCCAATGTAGTGTTTCTCTGGATTTTTATTTATTTACCCTGCACCCTCTTGGTGGCAGGATGGGATAGCTGGGTGGGCAGGGTGATGAGGGCTTTGTGCCAGTCCTCCTGGCCCCCAAGAGCCTGGACCTCATACCAGAGGGTATCTCTGGGACTGTACCTGCTTGCAGATGGTTAGCAGAATGGGTAATGGTGGCAAAATCCCAGGGAGGGCTGTGATAAAGGTATGTAGGGAAAGAAGGATGGCTTTCCAGGCCTGGGAGGTGATGTCTGGCTGTTTGCAAAGGGAAACAGCACTGATGTCTTCACAGCTTCTCGCCACTGCCACCCTACACCCATCCTGCCGTCTGCTCCCCCTGGGCTTATTTCAACCCTAAATGCATTTTACAAGGTAAAAATACCGTACTAACAGAACAAATACATCAGTACATCTGTCATGGTACAGCTGAAATGCAGAAATTAGGGTTAGCAACATTCACACCCTCCTGAACAGCAGGGCAGATTTGATGAGGACTTGCTGATATTCTTCGCATGTGCTGCACACCCAGGTGATCAGTGTGTGCAAACGGGATAGGGAGCCTCTTCTCTCCCCTGCTCCCAGCCTGGTTTCCTGCTGAGTCTTTGTTTCGTGCAATGGGCAGCATCCTATGCTGGCTTGCGTTGTAGTGTCACCTCTAATGTCAGGGGGATTTAACTCAATAGTTAAATCTGCCCCAGGACATCAGCAGCGAACTGTCCTAACTCAATTTCCCTAACACAGGGACTTTGTTCACCAACGTCTTCCCAGCACATGGATTTTCAGATGTCCTTGTTCCCTTAACGCAGTTATGAAATGATGCTATTTTCTGTAACCTTATAGATCTGCTGACAAGGTAGAAAAGAAACTCAACACAAGCCAAATTTTGTCATTTCTTCTCCAGTCAGAAATTAATTTACCAGCAGAGGGCTCTCTGGCTCTCTTATGATTATGTTTTTTTCTTCCCCCCCCTCTCCCTCCCCCCCTTTTTTTTTCTTTGCCAAGGTTACCATGAGGTTTAAAGAAAGGGATACAGAAGGCAGGCAGCTGTTCCCATCCCAGTGCCTGGGGCAGAGGTGGGCTCCAGGGTGGGCTCTGGCTCTCTCAGCATGGTGTGTGGGGTCCACCTGGGGAGGCACGGAGAAGCACCCGGCCCTGGGACCTGTGCTCAGCACACCGGGGATGAGGCAGCTAATAGAGAGTAGAAACAAAATCAAGAGCATAAGTATGCTTTGCATAGATCATAATGTTTATTCTTTTCATATTCATAGTATAGACAGGCTTCCGGTTCTTTCCTCTTTATCCTTTGGGTGTGTTTAAGTTTTTATTCTGAGTAGGCCCAAACTACAGGATTTAATTTATCAGGTAAATTCAGACTTCAGGAAAAAAAATCCAGCTTTGTAATTTTTATTTATGAAATGTGAGAAGCAATGAAATGCATTGCATTTTTTTTTTTTTTTTTTTTTTTTTTTTTTTTTAATGACATTATAACTTGCTCTTGTAATCTCAGAGCCTGTCTTATAACCTTGGCTGTATAAGGCCATAATAAAAGCTCTGGTGAGATCCAACCAGGCCTGAAAGCTCTGAACTTTTGGGAGTGGAAGTCAGTCCTGGGGACTGGTTGCTGGCTGAATGGGGAGACTGGGAGCCCTGGAAGATTCCCTGGTCTTTTCCACTGGTGTAGGTGAGAGTACCACAATCAGTAGGTTATTTCACTCTCCTGACATCCTTGTGAGATATTGGCTCTGTTTTCATAGACAGAGAATGAGTCACCAAACAAACCGAGCAATTTATCTCCAGGAAGTTTGTGGCTGGGCTGAACTCATGTCTCTACTATCCCAAAACAGAGTTTGAGACACCAGGCTGTCCCTAATATCTAAGTGGTGCCAAAAACATGGTAATTAAAAGCCTACAAAACTGTATAGTCACCAACGTTGTTTGAAAACACTGCACTTCCATGGACTATATGACCAAAATAAAATCCTATTGTCCTGAAGCCCTCCATCACTGCTTGCCGTGTCCTGACACACTGGGCACATGCTGCACCAGAAGCAGCTCATTCCCACCATGTAGAGGCACTTCCCTCACATGAGGAAAGGGATCTGTGAGGTGGTGGGTCTCTACAGAAACTTGGCCATCACCTTTGCCACGGCATGACCAGGTCCGCTTTGTCAGAGTGACCACAACTCATTTAGGGGAAATTTTCTGCTGCTGGTGCATTGAAAAGAAGTGTCCCTGAGCCCTCCCTGAGCAGATGGATGTGGTGGTGCACAATGCAGTCCAGCTAGGGCAGAAAAACACTGATACCAGCTCTCAGCATGTGTCCTGTGTGTTTTTTCGCTGAATGACAAACTCTGCCTCTTATCGCAACACCAGTCATCAGAAAGCATTTCCTGATAGTTTGTTTGGGTGGTGGGCAGTGGTGTCTGTTGCCCTGTCTGCTGGGGATGTTTCACACTCTTTGCTCTTCCTACAAAACAGAGGTCTGGGTGTTGCCCTCTCCCTTAGTCTAAACCAAGATTTTCTATGAAGGGTTCAGATCTGATTTTTTTTTCCCTTAAACTGGAAATTCAAAAATAAGAAATCAATCACTAGAATGTTCTTTTACAAATATAAATAATAGTTTCATTTAGCTACCTGATAGCAAGCCCTACATATACAGTGTGTGTGTATATGTAATACTTACATGTAGCGTACTATTTGAAAAGGATACTCTTACACTTAATGGGCCTTTGTAAATCCTCCCCTTCAGGTAACATGAATTACCCAGAGCTTCTCTGGGCTGTTGGTTCTGAACCTGGTGTCTTTGGCTGCCTTGCCCCATGGTGCCCAGGAGCATGGAGAACACTGTTGTGCCTCGTATGTGGGGCTGCATCATGGGCTATGATGGCACTGACTTTTTTTTGGATAACCTTGGCTTTGGAAAGATGTGAAACATCAAGCAGAGGGAAGATGAGACCTCCCCAGCCCTTCCTTACCCTGCAGGGGATGGAGGGCACTCAGCAAATGTCTGTCTTTGCTGGGGTGCCCCTGTTCTGTGGCTCTCCCAGGTGCAGCCCACTGTATGCACCTATCTTTAGAAGCACAAGCTGTGGGGGCAGATGACCATGGCGTGAAATTAGTTCCTGAATGCAGTGGTGTATCGCTCCCCAGCTGCTGCATGCACACCAGGCAGGCTGCAAGGCAAAGACCGCAGGGAGTGAGATAACTTAAAGGGCATGGGAAGTTTAGAGTGAAGTGATTAATTACTGTGGCTACTTAATGGCTAAATGTTATGGTGATTATTAAATAATGTTTGAAATTGGACCCTTGTGAATCATCTGCCAGATCCTCAGCTTGCCTGCACCAGTGTAGTGGTACATAACCTGGGAGGGCATGCTAATTTTATACCAGGTCACCCAGGGAATCAAACAATCAACCATTGTATGGAAAATAAGGGGAAGAGATGTCATGCTTGTGTGGACACGTGGTTTAAGAAATGACTGAAAGTTGTCAGGCTGAGAGGCAGATCTTGGAGATGACAATGCCAACACACAATCCCCCAAAACAAAATTTGGATTTAGTGCATATAAGGAGATAGAGTTGGCATCTTTGATTGAATGGAGTGTAGACATCAGCCTAATGTACCTCAGCCACATCTAATTCATCTTCTGCAGTAGTTTTTAAATGGTTGTATGCTTTTTTAGGTGCTGCTACCACTGAAGGAGAAGGAACACACCCATCCAAGTGAAGCCCACATTAACCAAATGGTTAAATGAAGACAAAGTCAAAGTATGTACACCATTTTAAGTCAGGTCACTGGGCAGAGGTTGACCTTGGTCAGAATGTCTCCACAGACCTATCCCTGGCTGCAGGCCACTTTGGTGGTCTTGCTGGAGAACGGAACAGGTGCTTTGGATGTTTCATCCAGCTAATATGGGTCTTTGTTGTGACACTTACAATGTCTTAAAGGCAAATTCCTATGATTATTCAAAATTCTAACCAGTTATTGAAAGCAGCTTTTAGGGGAAAAAAGAAAAAAAATGAAGAAAAAGAATGTCGTATTTATAAGACCTATCATCAATCAGACAAAGAAAGAAAGAACAGAACCCATCCACCCTGGAAAGCAAATGGTGATAAAGATCCCAGATAAAGTCACTCTTCTCAGCGGGCAGCAAGTCTGATGAACTGAGATGGAAAGTCCTTCTCATTGATTTCAGTGGAAAAAATAATTGACTTTGAACTCTTCGAATAAGTTGCAATCTGTATTTAATTTCTTGTCCAGGGAAGAGAATGTCATTTTGTTTTTCTTGTGGCTCCTATTAGCTTTAATATCAGTTGCACAACTGATTCCCTTGCATCAAGCTCCAAATTTACCCCTGATGTCAGTGTGCTTAGGACTGAAACAAAAATCTCTCAGTTGCTTAAAGGATCATGCCATAATACCACATTTATTAATTCAAAATCTCTTTCGTCCATACATGCACAAATGGAGCTGAGTATTCAGAGGAAAGTGTAAAGACTGTAATTTAACTTTTCGACATTAATGCAGCCTATTAACTGGAAATGTTCTTGCGGTCCTAGCAAACTTATACGTTTTTGCCCTTGAACTGCCTGAACAGAGCTATTCAGCACATCAGGCTGTCAAGGTCACAGATCCAAGCTGCTGATTTTGTTGCAGGGCCAAATTACCTTTTGAATAACATATATACAGATTTTGGGTTTGTCATCATCAGTTCAGATGTGGACAGGGGACCCAAAACCAGATGGCCCCTGTGGATGCCCAGAAGAACCCCTGCAGAGTTTTGTCATGGGGATCAATTTGGGTGAGATTCCCTTAGTCCCATATAGAAATAGTCATCTGAAGACAAAGGCAGGGTGCTTGGGTTTGTGCCTGTTGCAGTATGAAGGATGTGGTCTGATCCTGCAGAGCCTCCTGAAGTAGAAGTCTCACATGTGCACTACTCTCCACACGGTGAGGGTAAGTACAAGCTGTCTACAAACTCCGTTGTCTTCCTCTGCTCTCAGATTGACTCGTTTAGCCAAAGATTGCTAAGAGAAGAAAACAGTTCTGACAATTAAACTCTACTGATTTACACTGTCGTTTTGGGGACGTTGCATTTTCAATCACAAACACAAACAAGATCAGAACACTCATCTAGAAAGACGTCTTTATGGAGAAATAATGAGTCTTATTGAGCCAGCAATCCTGGTAGCAGTGTATGCTGGAAAAGTAGTGAAAGTTAAACATGAACCTCCTCGAAAAACTCTACAATTCCAGAAAAGTCTACACAGGCCATCATGTGAGTGAGGACTGAGACTCATTTGTTTACATGTATCAGCCTTTGTTCTGAAAACCTCTTTGAGGTTTCATCAGGAGTCATGATATAAAGTGAGTTCTGTAACTAATAGTTCCCCATGCATCATGACCTCTGTGTAGCAGGCTACAGGCACCAGGGAGAATCACGGAATCACAGAATTGAGGGGGTTGGAAGGGACCTTGAAAGATCGTCGGGTCCAACCTCCCTGAAGCAGGTTGCTTAGAGCAGGGTGCACAGGTAGGCATCCAGACAGGTCTTGAATATCTCCAGAGGAGACTCCACAACCTCCCTGGGCAGCCTGTCCCAGAGCCCGGTCACCCTCACCACAAAGAATTCTTTTGCATGTCAATGCAGAACTGCCTGTGCTCTATCTTGTGGCCATTACCCCTTGTCCTGTCCCCACAAACCACTGAAAAGAGGTTGGCCAAATCCCTCTGTCTCCCACACCTCAGATATTTATACACATTGGTGAGATCCCCTCTCAGTCTTTTCTCCAGGCTGAACAGACCCAGGTCTCTCAGCCTTTCTTCATAGGGAAGATGCTCCAGGCCCTGTATCATCTTTGTGGCTCTCTGCTGGACTCTTTCCAGGAGATCCCTGTACCGGGGAGCCCAGAACTGGACACAGTACTCCAGGTGAGGCCTGACCAGGGCAGAGCAGAGGGGGAGGATCACCTCCCTTGGCCTGCTGGCCACGCTCCTTTTAATACACGCCAGGATCCCATTATCCCTCTTGGCCACAAGGGCACAGTGCTGGCTCATGGTCAACCTGTCGTCCACCAGGACCCCCAGGTCCTTCTCCTCGGAGCTCCTCTCCAGCAGGTCGTCCCCCAGCCTATACTGATACTTCGTGTTGTTCCTTCCCAGGTGCAGGACTCTACACTTGCTCTTATTTAACCTCATGTGGTTTCTTCCTGCCCATCTCTCCAGCTGGTCCAGGTCTCGATGAATGGCAGCACAGCCTCCTGGCATGTCAGCCACTCCTCCCAGCTTTGTGTCATCGGCGTACTTGCTGAAGGCAGACACTATTCCTTCATCAAGGTCGTTGATGAAGATGTTGAACAAGACCGGACCCAGAACCGATCCCTGAGGAACATCGCTAGTCACAGGCCTCCAGCCAGACTCTGCTCTGCTGATCACCACCCTCTTTGCTCAGCCACTCAGCCAGTTCTCAACCCACATTACTGTCCTCTATCTCCACCTCCACTCCTCTATCCCACACTATCTCAGCTTTGCTATCAAGATATCAAGGGAGACAGTATCGAAAGCCTTGCTAAAGTAAAAGTAGATGACATCCACCGCTCTCCCCTCATCTACTCAGCTGGTGATGCTATCATAGAAGGCAACGAGGTTGGTTGAGCACGACATCACAGGCGATGCCCTCCCCTTCCGGCCCCACCTTCCCAGGTGCCCTTACAAAACAGGTTTGAGGCCCTGGAGATTGAGAGACCAGCAACGAAGGAAGAGATAGAAAGTGTTCCCAGGAGGATGCCTAGGGTGAGGAGGTCGACTCCACGCCTCAGGACTGCCTCCATCAAGAAAGAAAGAAGGGTGATTGTTGTGGGAGACTCTATCCTTAGGGGAACAGAGGGCCCTATTTGTCGGCCTGACCCTACCCGTAGGGAAGTCTGCTGCCTCCCTGGGGCCAGGGTCAGGGACGTTGCCAGGAAGCTTCCCAACCTGGTACGCCCCTCTGATTATTATCCTCTCCTGATAGTCCAGGCGGGCAGTGACGACATTGAAGACAGAAGCCTGAAGGCAATCAAAAGAGACTTTAGGGGGCTGGGACGGTTAGTGGACGGAGCGGGAGTGCAGGTAGTGTTTTTGTCCATCCCTACGGTGACAGGGAGGGGTACGGAGAGGACCAGGAAAGCCCACCTGTTAAACACGTGGTTCCGGGGCTGGTGCCAACGCAGAGATCTTGGGTTTTTTGACCATGGGGCAGTTTATTCAGCACCTGGTCTGATGGCCGTAGACGGGTCCCTATCCTTTAGGGGAAAAAGGATCCTTGGCCAGGAGCTGGCGGGGCTCATTGATAGGGCTTTAAACTAGGTAAGAAGGGGGATGGGGGTGAAGCAAGGATTGTTGGAGCTGTGCCAGGGGGAACAATGGCAAGGCCGGGGAATAAGGTAATGGCCCAGCTGAAGTGCATCTACACCAATGCACGCAGCATGGGTAACAAACAGGAGGAGCTGGAAGCCATCGTGCAGCGGGCAGGCTACGACTTGGTTGCCATCACGGAAACGTGGTGGGACCGGTCTCATGACTGGAGTGCTGCTATGCCTGGCTATAGGCTTGAAGAACTGCTCCTGCTTGACGAACCTGATCTCCTTCTATGACAAAGTGACGCGCTGGGTGGATGAGGGAAAGGCTGTGGATGTGGTCTACCTTGACTTCAGCAAGGCTTTTGACACCGTCTCCCACAGCATTCTCCTCAAGAAACTGGCTGCTCTTGGCTTGGACTGGCGCACGCTTCGTTGGGTTAGAAACTGGCTGGATAGCCAGGCCCAAAGAGTCGTGGTAAATGGAGTCAAGTCCAGTTGGAGGCCAGTCACTAGTGGCGTCCCCCAGGGCTCGGTGCTGGGGCCGGTCCTCTTCAACATCTTCATCAATGATCTGGATGAGGGCATTGAGTGCACCCTCAGTAAGTTTGCAGATGACACCAAGTTAGGTGCGTGTGTCGATCTGCTCGAGGGTAGGAAGGCTCTGCAGGAGGATCTGGATAGGCTGCACCGATGGGCTGAGGTCAACTGCATGAAGTTTAACAAGGCCAAGTGCCGGGTCCTGCACCTGGGGCGCAATAACCCCAAGCAGAGCTACAGGCTGGGAGATGAGTGGTTGGAGAGCTGCCAGGCAGAGAAGGACCTGGGAGTGATGGTGGACAGTCGGCTGAATATGAGCCAGCAGTGTGCTCAGGTGGCCAAGAAGGCCAACGGCATCCTGGCTTGTATCAGAAACAGTGTGACCAGCAGGGCTAGGGAGGTGATCGTCCCCCTGTACTCGGCTCTGGTGAGGCCGCACCTTGAGTACTGTGTTCAGTTTTGGGCCCCTCGCTACAAGAAGGACATCGAGGTGCTTGAGCGGGTCCAAAGAAGGGCGACGAAGCTGGTGAGGGGCCTGGAGAACAAGTCCTACGAGGAGCAGCTGAGGGAGCTGGGCTTGTTCAGCCTGGAGAAGAGGAGGCTCAGGGGCGACCTTATTGCTCTCTACAGATACCTTAAAGGAGGCTGTAGAGAGCTGGGGGTTGGCCTGTTCTCCCACGTGCCTGGTGACAGGACGAGGGGGAATGGGCTAAAGTTGTGCCAGGGGAGTTTTAGGTTAGATGTTAGGAAGAATTTCTTTACTGAAAGGGTTGTTAGGCACTGGAACGGGCTGCCCAGGGAGGTGGTGGAGTCACCATCCCTGGAAGTCTTCAAAAGACGTTTAGATGTAGAGCTTAGGGATATGGTTTAGTGGGGACTGTTTGTGTTAGGTTAGAGGTTGGACTCGATGATCTTGAGGTCTCTTCCAACCTAGAAATTCTGTGATTCTGTGATTCTGTGACTTCTCCTTGTTGAATCCATGCTGACTACTCATAACCTTTTTCTCGTCCAATCGCTTGGAGATGGCATCCAGAACAAGTTGTTCCATCACCTTTTCAGGGACAGAGGTGAGACTGACTGGCCTGTGGTTTCCTGGATCCTCCTTCTTGCCCTTCTTGAAGACCGGAGTGACATTGGCTGTCCTCCAATCTTCATGCACCTCTCCTGTTCTCCAGGACCTTTCAAAGATGATAGAGTGGTTCGGCAATCACCTCTGCCAACTCCCTCAGCACACGTGGATGCATCCCATCAGGACCCATGGATTTGTGTACTTTGAGCCCAATCAGATGCTCCTGAACCACTCCCTTGTCAACAAGGGAGGAGACCTCCACTTCCCAGACTCTTTCTCCTCCCTCCAGGGTCAAGGAATCCTGGAGGGGAGTCCTTAGAACAAAGACTTAAGCAAAGAAAGCATTCAGTATCTCTGCCTTCTCAGCATCTTCCGTTACCAGGACACCCCCTTAGTTCAGCAAGGGTCCCACATTATCCCTAGTCTTCCTTTTACTGTTCACATACTTCAAAAAACCCTTCTTATTATCTTTTATCTCTTTTGCAAGCCTCATCTCTAGGTGGGCTTTAACCTTCCTTGTTGCGTCCCTGCAGGCCTGACAACACTTCTATACTCCTCCCAAGAGGACAGGCCCTTTTTCCACATTTCATAAACCCTCCTCTTCCTTTTGATCTTATTGATAAGCTCTTTGCTCATCTACACAGGTTTCCTGTCCCCCTTCCCTGATTTCCTGCTCTTAGGGATGCACAGATCCTGAGCTTGGAAGAAGTGCTGTTTAAATGTAGCTCAGCTCTCACAAGCACCCTTGCCTTCTAGCAGCCTAGCCCATAAGATACTCCCAAGCAGGTCCTGGAAGAGGTCAAAGTTGGCTCTCTGAAAGTCTAGGGTAGCAATCCTGCTTTTAGCCTTACTTCTTCCACCAAGTTCCATCTTGAACTCCACCATCTCATGGTCGCTGCATCCCAAGACACCCATCCCTGTTGGTAAGGACAAGGTCCAGGAGCACCCTCCTCCTTGAAGGCTCCTCCACCACCTGCGTCAGAAAATTGTCTTCAATGCATTGTAGGAACTGTTTGGAGTGCGCGTGCCTGGCTGAGTTGCTTACCCAACAGATGTCTGGAAAATTGAAGTCCCCCATGAGAACCAGCGCACGTGATCATGAGGCTATTACCAGCTGCTTGTAGAAGGTCTCATCGACCTCCTCCTCCTGATCTGGTGACCTGTACTACACCCCCACAACAGTGTCCCCCATACCAGCCCACTCCTTAATTCTCACCCACAAGCTCTCCACTTGTCCATCACCCTCTCCCAGGTGGAGCTGCGTACACTCTAAAATCAACCACAAATTTCTAGTGCAAGATCTTGTCTGACGCTTTTTGTGCTGTTGACTTAGAACTGTAGCTTTAATGACTACTGGATGAATGCTAGTGAGCCATGGCTTTAGTCCTTCACAGCAGAAAAGGAGAAAGCTGTAAAGTCTGATTGTACATTGCCAGAGTGACATATGCTGTTCCTTGAAGTCTAACCTGTTTTCTGTCTTCTGTGTATTCGTGAGACATTTCCTTTTTATGACACATACATTATCACGGTATCTCAGCACTTCAGCATTTGAGCTGTATTTATCCTCACAACCTGCCGTGAAAAGGGAAGCATTTTCATCCTTGCATTTTTTAAAGAAGAATTGCCAGGAAGGTATTAAGAGACTTGCTGAAGATCACAGAGCTATCGCAGGCCAGGAAATCCTAAATCTGAAACTCATATGGTAACAATTATACCATCCTTCCTCCAAGACCATGTAAAGAGACACTTTCTAGCGGTGAGGGAGAGCCTTACCAACAGGCTGATAACACATGAATGCATTTCCCTTATGGGCCTGAGGCGACCTGGCAGAGCTCTTGGGCAGCGCTTCCAGCTGGAAGCGTGTGAGTGCTTTTGTCTTTGGGAACTCTGCTTTTGAACAGAGCCCGTCTATGGAAGGAAATCTGAATTTTCTCCATGCTTCTCCTGAGGTAACGTGGCTGGAGGCAGCAAACAGCTACAAGATCTTTATTGCTCTTTGACCAGAGCTTTTGCAGGCAGAGGTGTGAGATATTTTCTGTACACTGAGTCATATTTTCTGACTGAACTTCCATTATCTCCTGGTGACCTTGAACAGAGATGCAGTTTTCACCCCTCTCTTGACAGGAAGCAATAGAAATGGTCACTGATCTGAGTGGTCACAATCATCTGATTTCCAGAGGTGGCTTCAGGAAATGTAGATTACCAAGATTTTCTGGGACACTCCTTAGACAAGAGGACACGTTTGCCTGTGAGGCCCAGTGGAGAAGATATGATGCATGTGGATGGTTGACCTCACACTTCATGAAAGTCTTCTAATCTCCCATACACCCCCATCCCCTTTTTCCCTTATTTTTTAAAAAAAAAAAAAAAAAAAGAAAGAAAAAAAGCTCATGGACTGAATAATGGGATGACGGGTCTGGAAGAAGGGTTGGCTGTCAACACTGTTATTGGTAATCTTTTTTCCAAAGGAAAAATAGCTTCTAATCAAAATTTTGTGCCACTGCAAGGATTGGTGGAGTGGTAATTACTGCTGAGAACATTACACTCAGATAAAGTGCACTAATTTTAATCAAGTACGTTTCAGAGTAGAAAAAGTAAGTTATACATCAAAGAGAGAGAGCTGCTGGCCCTTTTTTACAGAATGGAGCACCGTGATCACTGGTTTTGGCCTTGGCCGAGTTAAAGAAAGTGACTCCTACCTGAGGTGCTCCATCCACCCAAAAGAGGGTTCAAGAGAGACTGCCTGCACCAGGCTCACCTCATTTTAATGCCCACAGAACCACAGATCAAAGTATCTGCTGTATTTGTTATCTATCAGAGAGGTGATTTACTTGCAATGTGAGTTACAACTGAGAGCAGGTAATGAAATCGTGTTGGACTTGGTGATCCTAAGGGTCTTTTCCAAATGAAATGATTCTGGGACTCCATGAAATGAAGCCTGCCCAGCATCTTCTCTAGAACCTGTGGCCCAATATACACTGGGGCAATGTTTTGTACGACCTGAGTTGTCCCTGGTCCTACATCAGACATCCTCTGAAGGATGCAGGCTCTGCTGGCACCTCACCTGCTGCTCTGACAGATGTGGCAGCCAGAGGCAGCTGTGCTGTCCCCCCGCTGGCTGCCCTGCAGAGACCCGTCCCTGCTGGTTGTAGACCATTGTGCTGGTCTGCTGCACTCCCTCTGGCTCTGAGGGAAGCCTTCTTTAGAAATAACATTGGGATCTTTATCAACTAAACTTGTTATATCTGTGATTTAATTAAGTCCTTCTTGAGATTGATATATATTAGTTACTCACTCTCTTTGATCTTTTATTTCTCAGAAACATACCCATTAGTAACATCACGTAAGAGATTTCTTTTACACGTGTTCTTACACACAGATGGGTAGAAAACACTGGTGCTTAGAAATAAACATCCTCAAATAGACATTGTGCAAAAACTGTGCACTATGGACAACAATCCAGTCACTAAAAGGGCCCAGCAATGAGGGAAGATTAATAAGGACGCAGCAGGTGCCCAGCTATCAGTAAGACCCTCTAGAAACCCTCCTAGAAACCAAACACTGGAATGGATTCCCTGGCCAGAGGCAAGCAAAAGTGATGGCTGCAGGCAAAGGGGGCAGTGGGAAGCTTCTCTCTCTTTACGTCTCTGCAATCCTGTCCCATCTTAATGCCGAGATGCATCTGTCTGTGTCAGTCAGTGACTGCTGTCCACTTACTATTTCCCCCCTTTCTCATGACAGGTGTTGTAAATGGGCATTGAGGAGATCTCCAGGCAAATGACATTGGCTAGGACAATTTTTTTGTTCCTGCCCTTCCTCTGGGATTGTACAGCTCACAGGCACGAGGTTGTATGTACTAGAGAAGGCACCTGTGGAAAGACTTGCTCAGGCACTTCTGGTAACAGGGGAGACAAAGCTGCAGAGCTGCAAAACCTGTGACTGACAGCTGCCCTCTCGCTCCAACACCCCTGTGCCTCCTGCCTCCAGCTGGGTGGAAGGACCTGAGGGGTTGTAAAATATCTTCTGTCCTGGTGGGCAGATGAATAACCTGCCCTGTGCTTGGGAGATGCTGGGTCTGAATTTTGGGGTGAATGCTGCAGCTCGTGCCCAGGCCCCCAAGCAAAACAGTCCAGCAGGCTCACTGCCTATGCAGGCTGCCCTGGGGTCGCATGGAGAGGCTGGGGGAACAGCAGCTGAGCTGGCATGGGTGCAGGATGGCACCCTGAAGGCTGCCTTGGGAATGAGAGGTATCAATCACTTCATGATGGATTTTCCCATCTGCATAAAGCAGGGAGTGATATTTATTCTTTTTTACTGAAGCCTTTAACTTTTAAATAGAATGGAGCAAAATTTGGTTTTATATAGCTCCTCTTGCACTTCCCTATTTCAGAGCACTTTTACAAAGCAGTTAAGTTAGGATATAGTGCTGGAAATGCAGTGACTGTAGGCAAATGTGGCAATCTGAACTACACCATATATCATCTCACACACCTCCGCCGGGTTTGGTGTGCACGCTGCTTGATATTTTTTAACAGCTACTCCATATGTGCCCTTTATTCTGACCAACTAAATCTGAGCTATTAAATCTGTGCCTTGGTACTTTTTTAACACCTGTTTTAAAGGGAATTTAGCACTTGTAGAAGTTGCCAGATTACGGCAGGTTTATAAAATATGCACTTCTTTTCCTAATAATGACCCTGAGGCATTCAAAGCTTCAAAGGGCTCATAAGAAGCATTGAATCAGCAGCCCAACTTTTCTGAGCCTTGTCTGTCAGTAGCACTTTTCTGGGAAGGTTGGCCCCATGTGATGCCCCTTTCATGTAAACAGTACTATTCCCAGTGACAGAGAAACTATCAGCATCAGCATCCCAGATGCCGGGTGGCTGCTGTCGCCTCTCTTCCCTCCTTTGGCTGGGATGTTGACTCTGACAGCAGGGAAGCACTGGGCAGCTCTTTATTACCTGAGCTGCCTCCATCAGCCCTTCTCAGCACAAGTAAACACCCTTTTACCCAGCATCTGAACCTCTTTGGTGCTTCAGGTTAGCAGGTGGTATCCTTAAACATGAGCCAAGGCTGCAGCAGCAGATAAAGCTTTGTGATATTCATACAGACATACCAGTATGTGAGAGCATTAGTGGCCATATATTCCCAAACACACTGTTCCATATTGGGTCATGGCTCTTGTAATTACTCATTTCTAGTCCTTCCATCCTTGCCTTTAGTGAAATTATAAAACATTATTTCTGTACCCCAGAACCTTCCCATTAGCCTTCATTAATGATTATTTTTGTCACTCTCAAGCTGGTTCTGTAAAAATCATACATATATAATTGACCAAATTCCTCTCTCATTTCCTCTCAGGCAACATCATTGAAGTCAAGTGAGAACAGAATACCTCTAAGTGTGAGTAAATGCTGTATTTCACTCAAAGGCTACATTGTGCTAAGAGCTTTTCTGCCCCATTATAGGTTGTAACAAATATTTTTGCTAGGAGAAATTACGAGCTCATTAAAAAAGGTATCAAAAAAACTCCGAAAAACCATCAAGAGAACATGCGACAGCTACAGCTGAAAAAAAACACAGGGCTTTTTTGGAAGAAAAAGTAATCCTTAGAGCTGCTATAAAATGGGAAGCATGCTGTACTCCTGTGCAGACTACTAATGGTTAAATTTTCTCAGTTGGACTCACATAAATCAGTGTAGCCCCACTGACTTTAATAGAGTTATGCTGAAATTGCACTGGTGTAGCAGCTCATTTTGGCCCTACAAACTTGGCATTTGTCATTGTAGATTTGATCCAAACCTCATGAAACCCCTTGGGAACCTTTGTATTTAGATAATGGGATTTGAATCGGACTGTATAAGTTTAACATGAATCATAATTAGCTCAATTTGGTATTTGTATGGCTCATAATATGCAAGAAAGCAACTTGAGCCAACTGGATCATTGGTCTAGTTGCTTAGGAATGCAAGTGAAACTATGAAGTCTTTCACTTAGTCCACCTAATTACAATCAGATGGTAACTACTTTAAGTAATTACCAGACCAGAGGCAGCTTGGAGCACTGACCTAACATGATGGGCTCTGTCTTCTGGTGCCAGATCTCCAGAGAAATTATTCTCCTCTTTTGCTTCTCTTAAGTACTGGCCATTCATAACACTCATCTTGTTGATGTTGTTAATTGCCTTTAATATTCTGTATGCTATGGGGATAGCATTATCTTGCCTACCACACTTACTTAGTTCATAATGCTGTGTGCTTGTAGTGGACAGAGGATTCAGAGGTCACAAAGCCCAGTTCTGACCTCATTTACATTGGAGTTGCACCAACAGAATTTGATGAACTGTAATGAATATGTTCTTGATTTATAGCAGTGTGGGATAAATACAAGGTAGAGATCTGCTCTAGTTCTGTTGTCCTACTAGAATGACATTGCTCATTGATGATGGGCTATGTGTGTGTGTGTGACCGATTAATATATACATTTATATATAGTCTCATCATGATTTTTTAAAGCGGCTGATTATATTCAAATGGATAAATTATATTCTGAGTTTGTTAGTAGGTTTCTGGAGATGTTTTACTGGTGTCAATGGCAGTAAAAATCAACCTGTGTATTCCATGCCATGAAGTGAAACTACAGAGAACCAATACACATGTCCTTCCTCCAAAACCTTGCTGTAGAAAATGTCTGTCACCTTCTGTTCTTATGAGAGGAAAACAGCTAATTGCCAATTTATATAAAGAGAAGAAGACTTTCTCCTAGTCTTCATCTCAGAAACAAGCAGATGAAGGCAAAGGATGCTATTGTATCAATATCACATAAAGGGTAATGAAATTGGAAATAGATTCATGATTTATTGTCTCTCCAGCAGCACACTTAAGTATACGGGAAAATTGGCTTTCGGTATATCCAGTAGCTGCTTACATAGCATGACTAAAGAAAGACCCTGTGAATATGAAAGGTCCCAGATGAATGAGGCCTGAAATGGAAAACCTCTATTGCTATAGCAGACGGGGCGGTGTGGCTTTCATGTGCATTGTCAGTAATTTGCCAACATTTACATTTGATCTTTGGCTAGCAGAAACATTGATTTAGTGGGCTGTAAAGGCCCTTTTCCCCACCTGCTATCTAACCTGATAAAAATCATTATGCTGCAACAGTCCCTTTCTCTAGGTGTCAAGCAGGAAAGCCATTATCCAGGGAACACAGAGAAGCTGTGGTGTAAATCCCCTGCAAGGTTCCACATCGCTTCCTACGCCTGAGAAAATATACGGCACTTCTCCCAGCTGCCGGAGCAAGGTTTCAGGGTGCTCTAAATCGCTCTAGAAGCACAAGACTGTTGGCTAACAGAGGAGACAGCATGGTCATGTTAGGGAGAGGGCAGGCCCGCTTCTGTCCTCGCTGCAACACATCATCCTCCCTCTGCTGAGGTTGGTGCCCGGAACCTCTTAATGCCATTCGTTGCTGTTTGGGAATGCAGTCATCAAAAACGACCTGCTTGCTGACTGAAACTTTGGGTGCTGAGGGTATTTTCTGGCTGTGAAGTCAAATATCTGGTCTCCAGAGTAGGAGGAAGGGCAGCAGAGGGAGAGGCAGAAGGACTGGGCCTGCAGTCATGGCCCTGTCCGGGGCAGCAGGCCCTGGTGTGGCAGGGTGCAGGACATCCACTGCTGGGTCTGAGCCTGACAGGTGAAGCTGGCTTAAAACCAGCTCCCCCCTCTCAACTAAATAACCTTGGATTTTGGTCATGCTTCTCCAGCCCTCTCTTTTTGTTAGAGGGACAGCAGTCAGCGCTGCAAGACCTTGCTGCCAGCGACTCAGAGCAGAAATGCAGCTGATGTCTGCCGAACAGCTGCACGAGACTGCTTTCAGCCCGATGTGAGACAGCACCGGCCTCTGTGAGCCGTGGTCTCTCTCTGCCTGCCCGGGTGATGGAGGAAAGAACAGGCTGTGGGGCACAGAGCCCCTCGTGAGCCCCAGCTTGCAGCCAGGTGTGTGCTGCGGTTTCTTTTCCATGTTAATATTCCTGGGGCAGGCCCTGGAACTGTATCTGTTTCTTAGATCTCTCCCGTTAATGAAATGGCCAAATACAATTGTCTGGCAATAGAATTGCACTTCAGCAATACAAACAAAAAGGCCCTAATTTACATTTGTGCCAATACCATTAATGTAAATTGGTTATTAGCTATTTATGCTAAAAAGCTGTAATACAAAGCATAAAGGTAGTTTTATTAACTACATTTTGCCCTGTGAAATCTATGCTAGAAGGCATACTTTGCAATCAGTGATTTTCTTTTCTCAGGCAATATGGCATTTGCTCTACCTAATTAACATATTTATAAACAAGTTACTACCCCCTTTTCTGCACTTTGCATTTTATAACACATCACTGCTATGAAGTTAATAGGACAGCCGTGTGCAATGCTTTTGTAATTCAATTGCAATGTTGGATTGTTCTTTATTCTCATTCTCATGTATATGTAGGAAGGGGTAATTAAAGAAAAAATGGCATTTACAAACAATTATAATGCAGGAATAACAAGGAGGGAAATGGGTTTCAATCATTGCTTTTTAATAGAGGTGTAGGGAGGATTGGGGGTAGAAAGAAAACAGAGCTGCACCTGTCCTCTGTCCTTCTGTTTTTAGTCTCTTTGTGAGTCTGTGGGAAGATTTTTGGGGGTGCGTGGGCCAGATTGTCCCTTTTGCAGAGCTCTGATGCCCATGCTGAAGGAAGGGAGAGTTGGACTGGGACTGAGAGTTACCTTCAGGCAGCCTTCTTGGTTTCTAGCACAGCTATTTCAGGGCCATCCAGCATCACCTGGTTCCCCTCTAGAGCCTCTCAGCTCGAATTAGGTGCCAGATCCCTGCCCCAGCAGCTAGCCACTCAGGTAGTGATGTGAGGGGACAGGGATAGGTGATGCTGGGGGACAGGAGAGAGGGGAGATGGGAAATCGCACACTCTTTGGAAAGAAGTCAAGAAGTCCCTAGATCCTTGATCACCATAACAGCTGATGACTGAAATCATTCTGGAGAATGCAGGAACAAAAGAGGTGAAGGACGTGTTTTTTTTTTTTTTTTTTTTTTTTTTTTTTTTTTTAACCCAGAAATGCACAAAGTTTTTAATTCAAATGAAACTGTAATATCCCTAATAGCAAATGAGAATTTGGAGGTCATTTATACTACTTCTTACTTCTGTAAGGAACACATTCTGAAGGATGGAAATAACTTTGGTTTAATGAATTCACATATTCCAGTGGAATTTCAATCTTTTGCTTCAGTATTAAAAGTTAACGTTAAATTATATTCTTAAATTATAGTGTCATCTAACCCAGTTATGTCTGATCTTTTACAGGCTGATGTTAGTTATTTTAAGGCAAATTAGCTAGTTTGGAAAAGACAGAGGTAAATATATTTTCTGTGCAAAGAGATTTATAAAGATGTGGCTAAATAATAGTTAGCAGCTAGCTTCTGTGCATAGAAACATTTTCAGCCCCGAGAACACTGAGTTTTCCATGCTACCAGATGCAAGAACACTTAGGATAATCTGAGCATAAATACTCCATGACAGAAAATAGTCCTGTGCTCCAGTTATTCTCACAAGAAAGAGCACCAGGCTATATTCTGTTGTGGGTCGACATGAGAGGTCATTTGCACTCAGTGTCCGTGCACTAGGTTGTTCTTAGAGGGTTGTTGTTGGTAGCCTTGAAGGGAGTGCCATGCTGGTTGGGAATCAAAACACGGGTGGCTCTGGCTGCAGGGCAGAGCATGAAAAACAAGTTAATAATTGACCTATGCGCCTTGTTTTCATTCTTAGGTCTACAGACATAGAACTGATAACATCTGTTTTTTTGTGCATTTTTTTTAACTTTTTACAATAAATAGAATATCTTTTACATCTCATGTGAAAAACAACAACAGAAATGGTGGGTCAAGAAATGGGTGATTTACTGTCTATTTTTTTCCTTTAAAGCAGGAGAGATCAGATACTGCTAGGGAGATCATGCAGCATTCAGAAAACTTTGTGAATCACCCGCGATAGGCTGCGGCTGCCATTCTTTGTATGACTTTCCAAGTTCATGAAAAGGTTACATGGCTACCAAGATGAAAAGCAGTCTCATCTGTTTTTTTCTACCACAGCCTTTTTCCATTACTAAAAATGAGGATTGTGATGAATCATGTCTTCAGCTGAACATCAAACACAAGTCTGTAGTCTTCAGTGAGCATTAAATATAGATGTGAATATAAATAGAGAAGAGGAGGTTATTATGTAGGAAGGAGGAGTATAATAGCAAGGCACAAGTTAGCTATTTAACATATGCTTTCTGCTCCCCTTGGTATCATACATGCTTTTATCTTGGGAGAAGAGGGCAATGGGTTAGCATGACCCTGTCTATAGACTC